CATGAGTCAGGAAGGATCTCTAACAGCCATCTGAGGAGTGGCCAGTGAAGTTATCACTAGGCTGTAATGTAAACACTACATTTTCTCTGAAAAGACAGTGTTTACAGCAAAAAGCCTGAAGGTAATGATTTTACTCACCAGAACAAATTCAATAAGCTGTAGTTGTTCTGGTGACTATAGTGTCCCTTTAAATAAATCCAGCAAAGAATAAAAATATATATATGAAAAGGGGAAAAGTTACAAAAAAATAAAATAAATCAAAACAGTAAGGAGAAATATAAATCAAAAATGGGGCAAAGTTTAGAAAATAAATAAAAATTAGAATTAGTTTGTTCTATGTGGTAGAGGCTTCAACCACACAAACATGAGCCTCGTTCGGCTCCTTTCACTACGTTTGCATGCTTAATCGTTTACCATTTGTATGATTCCTACGAATTGTCTTGTATTTGTATTGGAAATAGGCGAACAACTTGGTAAAGACAGACTGTACGCACAATTCTTCCTGATTGACTGTCATTTCTAAATTTCACTCTTACATGAATTGACGAGTTGTATGTATATCTGTAACTTTTGAGACTTTTAAGGGATGATATTACAGGTTAAAATAAAATTGCACATGTTTATTAACATTTTATAGAGAGTTGTTATGTCTGGTATATCTACCTGCAATTTGGCTGACATCTTATGTCCTTGTGATGTTCTACCCACAGGTGCTTTCGGAATATTAGTCAGAGGAATTGTTCCAGTTTTGACAAACTCCACTAATTTTTGTTAAATTGGTTGAAGTTTGGCTTATTTAAATAATAAAAATTTCTTTAGGTGCCGTTATCAGACCAGACTGTGTCGTTTACACGGGTTGTTCCATTCGTGGCAGCTTTTGCCAAATTCACTCCTCGTATCTATTATTTGGGTAGGTTACTCTATATTACTCGGGTCCACGATCTGGCCCACCTATATATTTATATACTCCTATTATTACTTGGGTCCACGATCTGGCCCTCACACATATATATGGCTATACTCAGATACTTTATTACGTCTCATCTATAGGTTGCAGTACGCATCTACTCCCACCCTCCTTACCCTAATTCTACTGAGAATCATCATTTCTGATTCTATTTCAGGTACGACATTTACAATTCCTATATCCTAGCCCCTTTTAACAGATAGTACTGGCTATCAGGGATTTAGGTCGTCCAAATAGTTTGTTTTCTGGTCTTAAGCCAAAGGCTAGTGGTACTGCGAGGCCAACACCCATCCTCATACTCTGAGGTATACGCCCATCAGTCCAAAGCATATTTGCTTTGCATGGTTGCATAGCAAGGGCCTCACATGTCACTCCCATACTATCTTCTGCTTTAATTATCACCGAGAGGCCAACACCCTGCCACAATGTTCAGTGTCCTCAAATCTCCTTTGGCCAACACATAGCTAGAGCCTCTTGGCAGTTAGCATGGCCTCACCTGTAACGTTGTGCTAATATAATTTTTTGCCACTTTGCATTAGCTAGCTAGCCAGTACCCGGTTATGAAGTATTACTGAAGTTCCTGATATAGTAGAAGCACTGTCCCTCCCTTGTACCCTAGCTAGGTCCGAC